GGGGTGCGGGGGGGGGGTGGGGGAGAGGATGTAATAATTTAATTCTAATGCATATGCATAAGATGAAAGAATTCAGGTTACACAGACAACTTAGTTTTGGCAGTTCCTAACTGCAGAATGCCTGACTTCATAATATTCATGAAATTACTTTGATATAATGGGGTTTTAGCTGTCATTTATTTATTTATTTAAATGAAACAGAAATATCAAACAGTTGAGTACATGAAGTAATTCTGCCAAACACACTCCTTTAGGCTGTTCAGCATAAATATTCAGATTCTCAGCACAAACTGTACCACTGCAGTTTATGCGGTAAGGTTGAGCACTTGTAAACTGCCACTCTGCAAGCACTACAGAAGAGGTAGCCACTGCTGGAGTTAATTTAACTGGGCATCTCTTAGTCATTCATGAGTATATGTTTTGTGACCATGGCTACGATGCCTTCAAGAACAGCTCCCGAAGAAGTTTCAGACAGTTTCCCTGCACCATTCACCGCAGCCAAAGGCACAGGGGAACACAGCAGAGACGCCCTCTCTGCGTGGCTGTGGGTGGCAAGAGACCAAATACAATAAAGGCTTTTAGCTTTAGCTTTGGACTGCTGAACTGAAGGCAGGGTAACCCTAGGGGCAAGACAGTCCTGCGATGTGGAGTTGCTACTAGAGGTACAGGACTGCACATGGGCTGACTGGCCCCTGCACTCTGCAGAGGTTTGCTGCACCGACTCTGTGCCATCAGTTGATTTTGGTGCTCCTAGCTGGGCCTGTGTTATCAGAGATTTCAGATTATGCCATGCCCAAATCCCTCCTTACGTCAGATAATGGGGAGCGCATTGTATTAACATACCACTGCAGTCTGCTACAGGAGAATTAAACACATACACTGCAGGGATGGGAGGTTACAAGTAGTTGTAAATAGTTGTACAGTTTAGAAATCTCAGTCTTCCTATGAGGATTTAGAGAAAATTTCCTTAATGAACACAAGCTGCCCTTCTCTGTTTTAGGTCTCTCCTTCCAATCCCTACAAAATCACCTTCTGCATTGTCCCTGTCCTTCTGTCTTTCTTGCGAGTCCTTGCTCCTCACTGATTTTTGACTCATTCCACTCCTTTTTCCTAGGAAACCTGATACTTTGCACACCATAGTGCTTTTTCTAGTGTCTTTGTCCCAGGTTCAGCCATTTTTCTATCCCATTTCTGCAGGAAAACTCCTGTTCAGTCTCTGGCTGTGGAATACTGCCATACTGAATTCAGGAATCTCAGTGCAAGATTAAGTCAGTCTCGTAAGTGTTTATGGGCTGTAACATTTATAAAGGTTTGTGAATGGCCTTGTGGATAGATTTTGTGAAGAACAGCAGGTAGACATATCTTTAGGAGAAAGGTCACTTCTGACATGTGAAGTTCATTCCCAGAAAATGGATAAATCGGAGCTTTTCAAAAGAAAGACCACTCCAAAAGCCTTTACCTTCCAAAAACCTTGTACTTTGGAATGGTTATACTCCTTTGTCTTAAACTTTTCTGAATAAAATTCTAGCCTACTCTTGTTAATACTTTCAAAGCTATATGTAACTGAAAACAGTCTTAAATGGGAAGTGTTGAGCAGCCTTAATAATAAACAGTGCTAAAAGCTCTGCTAACTATACTTGTTACCTTCTTTGGACACTAAAATGCCTAGCAAGCCACTAATTTTAGATGATAAAGATCCTCTAAACTAACAGCGCTAAGTCCTCTGTCACAATGTCCCAGCTAGTTGACTATGAGATAACGATTTGCTAATGCACACAAAAAATTACAACACTGGTAGAAACACTGCAGTGACCCAGAAGCATAGAACACAGAGTCAAAAGTCCCTGAAAAGCAGACAAAAGCAATCCAATGGCAGCAACTTAATTGCGATCTGTGTCTAAACATTTAGAGATTATTCCTGAAATAAGTTGTTTAAAGAAACTTAAACATATAGCACTGGTCTTCAGTTACTCCTATATGTAACTTTGATTCTGCTCCCATTGGCACTGATGAAGGAAAACAGGCTCCAAAGTCTGGCAGGACAGTGATGAACTTAAACAGACTTTCTGGTGAACAAGGACTAGGCAAACCACTTTTGTAACTATAAGTTCTGCAAATGTTACTAAAAGATAACAATTCTTTTTAAATCCAAGCAGCAAAGGTGAATACCTTTCACAATGAATTATTGCAAAATTACCAAACCTTTTTATTTTGAGGACCTCGGAAAGCGATGTTAGTGGTACTGCCTTATCTTATGATCTGAGGGTTTGTTTGGTTTGGACTGAAAGAAAACTGGAAAAAGCTGAGCTGGATTTTGAACAGCAAGTTAGGCAATTGGAAAAACAATGTAAACAGAATGTGTTCAATAACATGTGCCTGGAATTGTATTCGGTTCATTCTATCCATCCTGAATCAATGGTTGAACTAACACAATTAAAAGAGAAGTCAGTGAGTGTTTCACCACTGACTTCAGTAGGGCCAGAGTACATAAGGTGTAAGTCACATTCAAAGAAAATATGATAATGGGCAAAAAAGAATAAATTACACCAGTAAAATACCCATTCGTGTTGTCACACTAAGCTCATTTACTTTTCTCCAACATCCAGCTACAATGTTTCTCAGCTCAACCTTCAACAGCCAGAACAATTCTGTGGTCACATCCCCAGAGCGGTCAGTTGCCCAGTATGCTGGCAGTGCCTTCTGCACAGCACGCCTTCCACTCTTCACCCGAAAGTTAGTACCTCATATTTGAAGTTCTTCTTGTACCAATTATTCTTGCCACAACTTCAGTGACACGTGTCAAACAACTGTTGAACACAATGTAATCCAAAAACATACATAAAATTAACTGGAATGTGTATTGTGAAGCCCAGCACTTTTATGACTTTAACTTGCTGCACAGACAGTACCAAGTACCACCCATTTCTTACTGCTCCATGAAGTGTTACAGATACTGGCCTCCAGAATAAGAGGAGGAAACAAATTGAAGCAAACAGTGAGAGGGATGAAGAAGTAAGAGAGAGCTTGTATTATGTAGCTAGTGGTAATTAAGACTATTTCCAATTATATTTTACATAAAATATAGGCAAAACAACCCCTGAACCCATAAAAATTTGCAAAGCTTACGACGACTGACTTTTTAACAAAATGACAGACAAAAATGTTCATGAAAAATTTACTCACCCAAAACCAATAGCTACCCAATAATTTCTGACACCCTGATGTGGTCCCACCATAGGAAGAATGTCCGGAGAATAGGTGATAGGACCTGCAATTGTGTTTATGATGTCTGCATTTTTCAGAACTGGAACCATTTCCATAGCAGCCTCAATGTGCTCCATTATTCTGTCCAAATCAGGTTCAAAAAGTTCTTTTCCAAAACCTGCACAAATACTTGACTGTTATTATATATTTAATTACACTGAAAACACCTACATTTTAAATATATTTATGCAATCTACATATATAAAAGTTATATGCCATTGACCAGTGAGTATGTTCAATCCTTTACCATCCTACACAAGCAAAGCGGTGTGCATGAATCCCTAGTTACCTGTAGGATCAAGTATATTGTCACTGCAGATACACTGTACAGTATACATATTTGTTTAACCCTAAGGTCATGCAAATTCAACAATGAAGTAGAAAGGAAATGGAGAAACACAGAAACTACCTTCTATACTAATAAGACTCACTTATTTTTCTCAATATGCCAACAATTAGGGGAGAGGAAGAAAGATATTGCCTGCATCAGCTTATGATTTTCACAGTGTTTAATGAATATATATCCTGGATATATTTCAGCTGTCATTCTGGGCGCTAAGCTTTATTGAACATCACTCTGCAGAGGAACTTGACACTACTAGGGACAATAAGTTCAGGAAGCTGTGACAGTGCAATCCAAAGCCCAACAATGCTGATTGCTCTTCCTTGGGAAACACATTGCGTTTTTTTAAAACAGCAACACTATTGTCTTAATATAACTGTCTAGAATTGAATGAAAAGCTGCAGCCTAGATATAACACAGGCTTTTCTTTTTTTTTTTTTTTTTAAAAGGAAGAACTATGACATCATTGGGATTTTTTGTACAAAAATTCCATACAAATCTACAGCTCTCTTGCACATATATGCAAGCACAGCATTTTGTCTAAGACATTCCTTTGCTATACCTGTGTTCCTATTTGACAACCACATTATCTTTGTGGAAACTGCAACAATCCAACGTCCCTGTCAGTATGCTGGAGAGAACTGTAGCTTAGAAACATCCCTGTTGAGTTGCAAAAGGCTACATAACACAGATTTGGTGACTTTGGTGATTTTGGTCTAATCACAACACAGAGGCACCTGTTCAGAAAGTATGGTAAGACTATGTTGTTGATGTGTATTTTGTGCCTATTTCAAATAGGAGTTTTTTTATGCTGTATTTATTTCTATTCACTCTTATCATTAAAGTTCTGGGTTTTGAAAAAAGGCTTCTGTATTTCAATCACACATTGCAAATATTTTCTATTTTCCATCGTATCCCAGCATGACAGGCTGGGATTTATACACATTAAAATGTATAGTAGTGCTTATCAAGTTTAAAGATACAATATTCTTAATTACCTGGTGGAACTCCATTTGTTACCCATGAGTCCTGCAACTTCATCTTCTCCTCACTTTCATATGGACCAAATAAAAGACCATCCCTTTCTTGCCTTAGATAATATGATCCTTCTAAGTCACGAATCACAGGCAATTCTGTTTTTAGGGCTTTCACTTCTGGGATAGTTGATGTCACAACATACTGATGATGAACAGGTATGAGAGGGTGCTGCAGGCCAATCATCTTGCCTATTTCACGGGCCCAGAAGCCTAGAGAGGACAAAAAACAAAACAGAAATATTCAAAGACTATTTGTAATGAATGGAAAACAACAGTAAAACCTTTGCAGGAAGCACTGATTTTTATGGAATGTGATTTTTTTTCCCCATACTTTTAATTTTCAAATTATTTTTCATATTATCCAGCATAACTTTCCCTCCATAATTCCATGTCCTTGTTCTTAATTATACTATATTATTCCATATACAGATACTAAAAAAATATAATCGAAAAATATAAATTAGGCTTCTAAAAGTTTAGTTCTTTTTAATCAATAGTCCCAAAACCCCTCTGGTTTATTTTAGTAAAGTAGGTACGTAGTGCAGTCCTAGGAAAGTCAGAGACACTTAAAAATCAGAAAAAATTAGCTCACACCATGGGTGTGAACCTAGCCTCTTACTACCAAATGAGCTAGCTTGTTTTGCCAAGACAGCTGTCAAGTCGTTACACCCCAATAAAGCAAGGCAATACTTTCAGCCAGCTAACCTCAAAAATCCAAGTTTCTCTGCTCCTTCATATGCATCATGTGACTCATATTAATTATGTCTCTCATGTAGCAATCAATTAATTACGATGTTTGTAATGGTGAGTAGTCAGTGTGCTCTCCCATAGTTGTCCAGTTAAAAGCTCTGATACAGACTGTGACCAGATCAAGTAACAATTTCCCTTCCCCCGAAACCTATACAGGCACTTCATGTGTACTACTAAGCCCAAGTTAAAGAAAACCTAACTATTCTCTGTTAAGGTCTCTCCAGACTACTTGTTTCCAGCTGGTAAGACACATTCACTTAGTGAGGTACCTGTGTCAAAGTCGGAAAGAGGAATCCACTTCGCTGCCAAACTTAACTAGTTTGGGCTCTGCATCACAGCTCATGTCTGCGGTGAGGTTTGGACTCACAGACCCAGGAATTGGACAGATAAAATTGACAGGGATAGTAGCTGCTCGAAGAAGCTTAGAATGTCCCTCAACCCCACTCTCCTGACTCTTTGGAGGTCTCAGAAGTGGGAATTAAGTGGGAAAAGACAGTGAAGTGGGAGTTCTAGGGATTTCTAAGGAGTGAGAAGTAGAGGAATGTAGGATGGAAGAGGAAGAAATGGCAGCAGAACCTTCCAAGTAAAAGGCTATGTGCTATACAGCACCCAGAAAAAGAAGGCAGGTCAGCCTGCTTCCTGTGTACCAGCTGACCCCAAACTGTTTATGAAAAACTATCTCCAGCAACGTTTTCTACCTAGCACAGCTGCCCCTTCTCCCAGGGCTTACATTCATGAAACCCAGCTTAACATACAACTTTTCTTTTGTTTTGCTGCTTAGTTGTGTTACTCAGATGCCACTACCCCTCTCTTCAGTTCCACGGTCCCCAAAATCTGGTCAAAATTTAGCCCTCAGAGCACTGAGGGCACTCACATGATCCTGAGCAGCCTCACCTGGGACTTCCATCCCACACCCTTGCCCATGAGCCCAGGAGCCCACCTGAGGTCAGCTCATGGCCTTCAGAACTTGTCTGAACTGGACTGAGTGCAGGTGTGCCTGTTTATAGCTCTGTCACAATCATGCCTCTGCCTGGCCATGGACCTCATTGATCCGGACTATGGTCCGTGGACTACTTCCCACCTTGACTTCAGCCCAGTCTCGCCTCTGTGGTCCTGCCTTTTGATCACTGGACACTATCTGACCCTGTTTACCATCACCAGACCTGTTCCTGACCTGTGGATCAACTCCCGGTCTTGGCCTCAGTCTGAATTCGTCACTATGGATCTGCCTGTGCCTCATCCCTATAAACTTGCCTGGAGACCTGGACTGTGGGCTGATCCCAGCTGTTGGTCCTGGGCCTGCCCTGCTCCTTCCCTTGTGTCCTGTAGGAGTCTCAGCCCCTGCCCGGCCAGCCTTGTTACCACACTTGGCTCCCTGTCCCACAGGAAGCAGCTGGCCTGTGCTGCTTGCAGACATTAACTTGGGAATACATCCTCTCATCTCCAGCATGGCCTAATGCCAGGGCAATTAGGGAAGTTGAGTTGGGCTGTGCTGGCCTTGTGCCATTTCTCCCATGCCAGGAGGACTGTCAATCTCTTATTATTACAGTGTTACACACCAGCCTTAGGGTTTAGACCACCCACGGTTTTTAAAAATGCAAAATTTCTGAGGAAAACAGTGTTGTGTGGTGACTCACTTGACAATTACTGACAGCCAGGTAAAACAAAGGTGCAGGAAACCCATGACCATGAAAGACAGAGCTGTCCAATTAGAAGTCCTGCCCAGTAAATACTAAAAACCAGGATTTGTTGTTCTGCATTTATCATACACAAGAGTTTTGCTTCTTAATGGCATCCTCACCACTTGGAGGAGACTCACTTGTTAAGTCAGTTAAACTAGCTCAGGGAAGATCATTCCATAGTCACCCATAGTCACAGAGTGATTCAAAACATCCTTTAAGGCTACTGAAACCTGATTTATGCTTCCTTAAACCCTCCCACCCCAAAAAAAAAATCTAATAAATCTTAATTTCTAGCACAACTACAAGGATTTCCCCCATTACACATGACAAATACAAATGTGGATTTATGTAGAGGCTAATAACCTCTAGGGAATTCCTTTTGATATGGACATTACTATGTCACTTACAGAGAAAACTATTTTAGGGTTAGGTCAGCTAATGATCCACAAAGTAGAACGAAAGGTGAAGTAACAGAAAATTCTGTCGCTGGTATCAACTGATTTCCAGCAAAAATTGCTTGGACTTAAGAGATATTTGGAAAAGAAATAATTCTCTGCCAATGTGCTCCTAATAAATTCACTATTTTGCTTACTTGTTAAAACAGAACAAGTGAGAAAATATAGACAGCAAGCATACAAGCCTCTCAATGAAAATAAAAATAGTAGACTTAATTTTAGGTCTTTGAAACATCACTTTGTTTCTTTCAAAATAATACTAAATTTATTAGCCATTAGGTTTGCAGAAGTATATTACAAACACAGCTGATTTTAAATTGCTTTTGAATTACATTCAAATAGTTCAGATTTGCTCAAAATCAAATTTTAATTATTGTACCTCTAAAAAAAAAATCACATGCTAAGTATTTATTTAATTGCTTAGAAAAACAACAGCTGACATTTACTAAATGAAAAATAGTACTTTTTCTTTGTTTTAAGTTTTTGAATCGTGCAAAAGCTATTACAAACACAAAAATCACAATAGGAAGAATATGCTCTCTGAAACAAAACTCCAACTGGAAGCAGATGTCAAGTCCTATCAAACATAAATAAAGGCATAAATTACATCCCTAGGATATTTGTAAAGTTTAAATTGTAGGGATTGCAAACATCTGATGCAATATTTTGTCATGGTAGTACTTAGCATATCTCTTGAACTATGTAATCTGACTATCTCTTGCTTTTAAAAACAAGAAAATCTTCCATCACTACTTTAGTATAAATGGTTGTATATACAGTACGTACATGTCCGCAACTGCGTGCTTACACACACACCTACTGTCTATATAAATTAAATTCACTATTTTCGCAGACTATAATCAAACATTCCATTATAAATAGGCTTCAAGTCACTTCAGCAGGCTCAATACCAGTTAGTTCATGTCAAGGATTATTTATTAGGTATCTGATTTCTTCCAAAATGGAAATCTCACATAAGGAACAGCTAAAGATTGTTTGAAACTAGTTTGTTCCAGTTCCATAGCAGATGTCAGTTGCAGTGTGAGGGGGGAGAGAGAATGTAGAGAGCCTTCTGATATATTTTTTTCTGCTCATATTGCAACATGAGTCTAAAGTATGAGCTCTGAATTATACCAGTTATGATCTGGAGTGAAATGAAGAATGAATGTTAGCTGAGAGAACATTTATACAAGATACGTGTTATACAGTATTGATTTCACATTCTGAGCCAGAATGTTAAGCAGTATGTGCTTCAAATTCACTTTGTCTGAATAGGTAACTGCACAAGAGAATTAACTAAATAGATTTTTGTTTTAATAACTTATTAAATAATAATTTTTAAAAAAAGACTGAAAATTTCACAAGGGTGAATTCTAACTTTTGCAAATGAAAGCATTTACTATAATACTCTGCGTAATGTCAACTTGATACATAAGCCAAAGAAAGATAACTACACTACAAAACTATAAGAAAATTACCACATCTGTGATACTTCATCCATATGATACAGAGCCAGTAGTTAGGAATAATGAGTGCCTAGAAGTTTGCGGCCTAAATATTAAGTCTGGTTGCCAAAAGAGCTGCCTTTTCATTCCATAACCTTGGATCATTCCCAGACCAATGTATCCATATGGTGTAACAAACGGCATAAGGGTCCTATTAGTAAGAGAGCTTGTGATTTTGTAATTGAATGCTGTCCCATAATTCATGCCTGAAAACCATGAACTGACAGTCCAAACTCAATCCAATATTGATGCCGCTCATATTCTCAGTCAATATTTATTTGAATTTGTGGTCTAAATAAAATTCTTTCAATTTGGATATTGTTTTTGTTATTCCCTGCGTTGTAAAAAGCATATGAACTCTTCTATTCCTCTTTCTTTCCAAAAGTCATTATGAGGCACTGTATGGACATCATGACAGTTCATGAGAATGCTTAGAACCTCAAGGTAAATGTTTTCAGATTCCTGTTATTTTAGCTATGCTCACAGCAGTAGCAGGAGATCACCTATGTATGGAAAGAATATGATGAGAAAGCTCATTTTTCAGTGGGTTTCCCAGTTAGTCTTTTCTGAAAGTCTGGAATGATCTAACATGGGACTATCTATATCTGGTGGCTTTGTGGTATTTTACTACCTGGAGTTAAACCACGACACCCAGATACTGAAAGAAGGTCACTCAGTAAAGCTCATCCTTTCAGAATTCAGCTCTTTTATCCCATTCCCTCCAAATTTCCTGGTCTTCTCTCTTCCCCATCCTCCTTGTCCCATACCTGCTCTTCTTTTCTGCTCAGTCTCATACTCTTCTTACTCTAGTCCCTACATCATCTTCAGCTATTTTGTCTCTGTGTGCAAGTCAGTCTCCCTCATTTGTCATATCCAGTCCCAACTGCCTTCTGTTTCTTCCAATCTACACCAATCTACATCTCCTTTGCTACTCAGCCAGTCTTTCATGCTCAGGTAGCTCAGGCAGCACCAGTTTTCCAGTCTCAGTTTTACACACAACCAGTCCTCAAGTAGCCTTCCTAGTATTTTTGTTGGAAAAGCTCCAGCTCCACTTCCCTTAAGGAAACATGTCAGATCCCTTTCTGCTCTCCCTCGCTGTGTGGTCATCCTCATCCTCACTGTTGCTATCTCCACAATCCCTGCTAGTTTGAGCTTCCTTATTCAGCAAGTCCTCTAGCACCTAAGTGTTCCACTTGCTGCCAATGCTCCTCCAGGAACCTTTCCCAAGCATTTCACTCTCCCAGTCTATTCCCCTTCAAGTACAACTCACTCATAATTCTAATTGTCAGCCATGGTTATTCTACCCACCAACAATAAGAGACCCTGCCTCACTCAACTTATCCGCTTTATCAGCTTTGCACTAGAAATAGATGGTTTTTACTTTTCAACCACACAGATGTAAAAAAGGAATTATGAAGACATATCCTTGCTCTCACTTCACTTGTCGCATCACAGCAAGAAGAGAAAGTCCTCTCGAGCATCACAGCTTCTTACTGGTCTGATTATGCACTGAGATAGAATGTATGAAAGACTCATGCCCTAAAAATGCAGATATGATTCAGTTTGAGACAGACAGAGTCCTCAAAAATTTCAACTAAATTGTAAATATTCAGCATGTTTTCAAACAATTGAAAACAGAAAGTCTTCCACTAGGAAGTAGAAGGCATGCTTCACATAAGACATGCCAACAGTTTCACCAATACCGTATTTTTCTTAAACTGTATAAAGCAGCATAAAAATAAGTGAAGTTAAGATTTCATACAGATTTTTAGACCTATCAAATTGTTTAGGAAGATAAACACAAATCCAAAGAACTCTTGACCAAAATCTCTTTGAAGCAGAAATAGCTTCTTTAACACAATGAAGAACAAAAAAATTGCGTATGTAAATACAAGCTCCTTTGAGTTAGGAAATCTTTATTACATGAAAAAAAAGTATTATTAAGCCAAATGCATGTTTAAAATACTACTCAAAGGGCATCAAAAATCTTCTGTTTCAAGGATATGTGGATAGAGTTAAATCTTAGAGAGATAATACTGAAATAGGCAGGGTTATCTTATGTGCTGCAAATCCTCAGTCTCTTTGAAAAAACAGTGAAGACATCTCTACTTCATTTGTATCTTCCTTTTCCCTTCCTAAGTAGACTTCATATAAGATTTTAGAGGACAATATGCATAAACAGTAGCATATCTCTACTACACAATTTACTGTAGACCAGTAAAGGTCTCTTCTGCTACTGAAATCTAAAAAGATATTCTGACTAGTAACTGCTGGAGACAAACCACAAAGAAATATTATTAATGTCTAATCAAGGACAATTAACATAAGAGGTAAATTTTCACAATGAAGTAAAGTAATATGCACAAAGTACGTTTAGCCACAAACAAAAACAAACAGTTGAAAATATTTATGGCTTATTGTTCTAACCCACACAATTCAGTATAGATGCTCTATGTGAGCTAGCCTGTAAATCTGAAGAGTATAGAAATGCTTATGTTACCTGCAGTATTCACAATTCTCTTTGCTCGTATTATTCCAAGCGGAGTTTCAACTTCCCATGTTCCATCTGATCTGGAGTTCAGATTAGTCACTTGGACAGGGTAATTTAACTGGGCACCATATTTTCTGGCTCCTGCAGCCAAGGCCATAGTGAGAGAATAGGGATCAATATGACCGTCTCCTGGATTATACAGGCCAGCTAAAACCTAAGTGGAGGTAAAATCCCACAAAATTAAAGAAATTAAAATTTATCAAATCTAACTTTTTTTGAAAAAAAGCTTTATTTTCTGAATACAGTAAACCTTAAGGAGTCAAATTAAAAAAAAAAAAAACATATAATAATAATAGGCCTTTAGTTAGTCAATTTAACAGTGGTGTAAGGCAGCAAAATTGCCCAGTTCTCCCATGCAATGAAGGCTGCAATGCTTTAAATATAGAATCATAGAATCAC